CACACACACACATGCACATGCTAATGGGCCAACACTCAAGCATCAAACATGCAACCTTTAAGCACACTTAAAAGTGACAAAACATGGATTAATGGCATGCACATAAAGCTCTGAAAAAACACATGTTATAAAGGTGCCAAACCAAGTAAATAAGGCAAGCCAAACATGCAACAATGGTCCAAGACTTAAGGCAAGCCAAATGGGAGGTAAACCAAGGCTAGGTCAACCAAGCCTCACAAGGCCAAAGGGACTTAAAATAGGTCTAATGCAAACCTAAACAAAGCTAAGGATGTACTTAGATGGCATCTAAGTGGTCTAAAAATGCAAGCATACTCCAAGGCCTAAACAAGGGGCATAAGGCAACAACCTTTAAACACATTGAAGGGGGATGAAATGCAAGCATATGGGCACATCATGAGGTCTGAAATGACTTGTCAAGTGGTTTCAAACCACTAAAACAAAGCAAGGATGGCATGCTAGAAGGGCCAAGGCTTAAGGCATACAAGAGGGGTTACATGGTAGCTATACAAAGCAAGGCATGGATGACTCAAATGACTTAAAACAGTCCCTTAGCACATCAAAGTATGCATATAAGCTTCACAAAGCTTGGCCAAAACACAAAAGCATGGTAGTCTAGATGCTATGCATGTATTAAGGCAAATCATGGCATTACAAGGTATGTATGCTAGACAAGCATGGTGTACCAAAACCAACATACAATAATGCTATATTATGACATAATGAGCCTGAAAATCAGCCAAGGCATGGTCAATACATACTCAAACTATATGCTCCCTCAAGAGGCTGAAAATGGCCCTTTTCAAGGACAACAAGAAGAGGGGATGGCCCTCTCCTTGGGACCTCAAGGCACCATCCTCACCTCTGAAATCCCTCAAGATTTCAGTGGTGAGGAGGCCCAAACACAATGATCCTGGAGCTCAACCAAAATGGCACAAAATGGAGCCTTTCAAGGCTTAAGAGGGGTCAAAAAACCCCAAAGCTTGAAACACCCTTAAGCAACTACTTAGAGCAAGTAAAAACACAACTTTTATTTGTTATACACTAAGCTCAAAAATAGATGCAAGATAGGTAAATAAGCTATGCAAAAATGGAAGAAAATGGACAAGTTTCTCACCCTTGTAGACCCTCTTCACAAATGGTGGACCAGCAGTCTCCTTAGGTCTAAACCAGCTTCAAAACTTCAAAAACAACCCTCTAGAACCTCATTTCCAAGAGAAAGGTGTAGTAGTAGGTGTTTGTGTGCAATACTAAGGCCTAAAACACACACAAATACACCAAGAAAGAGAGATATAGAGATAGGATATATACAAACCCTAACCCTAGAACTCAAAGCTCTGAAAAATAATGCCTAACTTGTCTAATTTGTCTAACCCTTCAACAAGAGAGAAGACCCTCTCTTTTGTAGACAAAATGGTCTTGTAAAGCTTCCAAAGGAAGCTAACAAGAGGGCAATCCCTCCATACACGTGTATGGAGGGGGGGAAAAGTGTATGTCAGCTGCACAAAAATATCTGCAAAAGCAGATGCACAGTAATCGACCGGCCAAAAATACAATTGACCAAAAAAAGATAGCCGGCCAGCCATGTATAGTGCTGGCCGGCCAAACATTTGGCCGGTGGAAGCAAAACACAGCCGGTGGCCTCAGTCCCCGTGGTATGCTTGTATGCTTGCATTTAATGCTCCCTTAATGCTCTAAAAGGTTCTAGTCTTGTGCTCCATGTTTGGCCTCTTTTGTATGCTTCCATGCGTAGGCCACTTGGATGCTATCTAGGTGTGTCCTTAGCTTTCTTTAGGTCTGCCTTGGGACTACTTTAAGTCCTCTTAGCCTTGTGAGGCTTGGTTGGCATGGCCATGGTTTAAGCCCCTTGGCTTACCTTGAGTTTTGGACATTGTTGCATGCTTAGTTTGTCTTGTTTACGTGGTTTGGCATCTTTTATAACATGATTTCAGAGCTTAGTATGCATGCCATTAATCCATGATTGTCCTCCCTTTTAGTGTGCTTAAAAGTTGCCTTTTGATGCTTAGGAATTGGATCATGTATGCATACATGCTTGTATGTGCATTTGGCCCCATTTCCATAGCCTTTGGCCACTATTTGGGCTTAGTAGAGAGCTGTCCACGTTGGTATGAGTCCATTGTTCGCGTGTTGTTGCATGCTTGCCTTATGTGTTGTTGAATACTTGGCCTACCGCATGTGTTGCATGCTTGAATCATAGTGCATTTGGCATGCATTCTCATCTTTGTTTTGATTGCTTAACATGCCACATGTTTTACATATTTGCATGTTGGCATTGCATCTTGCATGCTCAATTAGCTTGCATACTTGTTATATGCTTTCCATGCTTGCCACATGTTCATGTTGCCTACTTAGTTTCCAAGCCTAGGGTGCATTGCATTGAACACGCATGCCTTGCCTCTTGAAATCAAATGATAGAGGTTGGGCCTTTATGTGCTTATTTGGTTTGCATTTCATTTGACATGAAAGTGCACAACTTGGTTTCTTGGGCCATCACGCATTGAAATGCACGATTGGTGGTCCGAGAATCGAGTACTATCCCCCTTTGAGTCATAAACATGATAAGGGGTGTATTGGTGCACACATTCACTTGAAATGCATTGCCATGCCTTATTTTGCCCTCTGCTGCTGTCAAAACAGGTTCTGCAGGAAGATTTGGCCGGTCGACTACATCAAGTGCCAATCGACCAATTATTGATGACCGACAGCTCCATAGATGGTCGATGACCACTTCTATTTGGCCGGTGACCATTCCTCATGGCCGGTGGCATTTCCCAGTGTTCATAAGCTGTACCTTGGGAATTGTACCATTTTCAGAGGAGCAGAGCAGGGAAAATAGAGGCAGCTTGTGCATGGCATTGAATTTTCGGGCGAAGCCAATCTGAGCACGCGTGCATCCCTCTTCCCGAGGCCTTTTAATGCTTTCCTTGGCGTAATTGATTTGTTAATTAATTAGGTGGTCTGTAAATTATTTAATTAGCTTGTAGGTTAATTAAAGTGTATTATTCTTTTGGTCCCTCCGAGCGAGGGCGAATTTGTAATAAGTGTAGGTGCGTGTGTGCATGTTTTCCAACCCCCACTTCTTTCTCCCTTTTACTTACCTGCTTTGATGGTTAGTATTAGGGCATGTTTAATTTAGCATACCTTATGCTATGCATGCATGCATCACTCATCAGTCTTGCATGCACCGGGCTCGGCGCATCATGCTAACCGCATAGTATTTCATTTCCAAACTTGAATACGTGAATCGAGTTGTCGCATTTCACATGTCATCCTTAGATTAGTCGAGCCTGTTCTAATAACATTCAGTATGCGATGCATTAGCCATTTGTTAACATTGAACTAGGGTCATGCATGATTACTAACTAGTTCATTGCTTTGGCACGGCGTACGATGTAGGTATTTATGCTTTAGCATCTCGCACGAGTGTGAATGTTAACATGACAGCATGCTTACCATGTGGCTATGTGCATATGTGATATTACTGCCTGAATGTCTGTGGGTGAAGGTTGGATTGTTTGAGTTGGAACAACTCATTGAAATCCGTGTTTTAGCCTACTTGTGAGTAACAGATTTCAAATTATTTCCAAACAAATGGATATGCGATGCTTTGTTCCAAATTAGGCGATCTAGTCTATACTTTTGTGCTGTGCGCATCACATAGTAAATCTAGGCTAATAATCGGAATAAGAACGCATAATGTTTTCAAAACAAGATATCATGGTTAGTAGAGGTCGATCTTCAGATCGAGCGAGAGGGGTTGCTCATAGCTGACCTTCCCCAATCGTACCCAAGTTCCCGAGCCGAGGCAACTTTGGTGATGACGAACACGTGGCCTTAGGCAAACGAGTCAGGGTTTCCTAAATTCCACCAAAATAAAATATTTAGGTGGCGACTCTATATCTGGCAAAGCAGTCCATGTTTGGCACTTCTTTACAAAAATCTGTTTTCCAAAATGATTTGTCGGATTTAGGACTCTTTGGTTCAGATTAAGAACCGTGACAATTTGAGTCCGAACTGTGGTAAGCCCAAAACGAACGAATTGGGATTTCCCTCCCGGGACGTTCGGGGACATCCACAAGGTGCTGAAGCACCAGTTGAAGGGGAAGGGTGCTGCTGGAGAGGGCAACCTCAGTGAGCGCACCCCGCCTCCTTACTCTGGCAGTTGCTGCCAAGACAAGACATCCTCTCTCTCTATTACCAGAAGCTATGAGGTAGGGGACTCCAACCCGCAGGGGGGAAGATCTCATGCACGCGACAGCAGCTACTGTCCCTCACGCCCCGCGTCAACGTCAAGATATTCTTTCTCCATCCATTCGGGAGACCTAAGGGATGCGTTGGATGAGAGGGCTCGCCGTAGAGGGACCCAAAGGCTGCCGGCATTGCAAAGGCTGAGCTTCCAAATCTGTTGTAGTGAGGAAGTGGCAATGCCCGCGCCTAGACTGATAGCACCAGGGGACAGAGAGCTAGCGAGACTTACCACTACCCCGTTGTCCCCAAAAATTGAGAGCACACCGCTCCCTCCTAGATTCCACCAGCCTAAGTTCACATTGTACAACGGCAAGACAGATCCGTACATGCACGTGAGTCATTATCGGCAAGTAATGACAGGACATCGACACAATGATGCCTTGATGTGCCTCATATTCCCAACAAGCTTAGGAGAACTGGGCTTGAAATGGTTCAAGAGGCTTTCGGAGGGAAGCATCGAGGAATGGCAACAGCTAGCAGAGGCCTTCGTTACCATATTCAAAACCAACACTCGAACACTGAAGGAGCTCGACCATCTCCTAAGCGTTAAGATGGAATCCGAAGGCTCTTTGAAGGCGTACAATGCCAAGTACTAGGAAACCTACAATGAGATCCTCGACTACCCCACCAATCTGGTGATCACCCAATACAAGCGGGGTCTCCCAGTCGGGCATAGGCTGCAAGATTCCCTTACGATGCACCAGCCCACTACCATGGAGTCTTTGATGCAGCGGATCAACGAACATATCCGAGTAGAGGACGATGCTGCCACCGCAACCGAGAGGGCAAATCCGGTCATAATAGACAAAAGAGTGGCGGGAAAGGTTCACTCGGTAGGGCAGGAGGACAACCGCCTGAATGACCAGTCAAAGGATCAACATCGTGGCTCAAACCGCGACAATAGGAACAAGGGTCACAGAAATGATCGAGCTAACACTCCTCGTGATGAAGAGGAGGATGCCAATAGAAAGTTGAAGGCGCGAACCAGTATCACCACGGTCTTTAAAATCCTTATTTGCCGCATCCTGAGTGAAATCCGAGGTGAACCTTACATTCGATGGCCGGCCAAGTTGGGAAACACGCAGAGAGGCTTCAACTCGAGGTATCGCTGCACCTTTCATGAAGGACGAGCGCAACGAACGCAGGACTGTGTCTTGCACAAACAACATTTGGAGGAGTTGGTGGCGGCAGGGCATCTGGACCAGTACGTAGACAGCGGTATGAGAGCCACTCCTCAGGAACAAGCCAAGCCAAACGGCCTCAGCGCCTTGGATGCAGTGCCGCAGAGCGTAACCAATGGCATCCATGACATCATTGAGCTGGCAAGGGTCTACGAGCTAAGAGGGATGATCAAGAAAGCCGAGCACATGAGGAAGGTGCTCTCCGTTCAGCTCGCCGTGAAGCAAGGAAAGATCGAGGAAAATGATGTCCTGGCCTTTTCAGGCAAAGACTTAGAGAGAATTAAAACGCCTCATAATGACACCTTAATAGTGACCTTCTGTGTCAAAGACTTCGACATCAAAAGAATTCTGGTTGACCAGGGGAGTTCGGTCGAGATCATGTATTATGACGCCTTCAAACAGATGACGTTGGAGGACAAGGACTTGGCCCCCATAACATCTCCATTCATTGGCTTCAACTCTCAACTAGAGTGGCCGATCGGAAAGACCATGTTGCCAGTCAAAGCGGGATCAGTCACGAAGCAAGTGGAATTTTGGGTGCTTAAGGTCCCATCAACCTACAACTTAATTTTGGGTAGGGGCTGGTTGCATGCCATGCAAGCAGTAGCGTCGACCTACCATTAGGTACTGTGCTTCCCGGCATCAACCGGACAGGTAGAAGAGGTTTGGGGACACCAAGTGATGGCAAAACAGTGTTTCGTCGCAGTAAATGGCTGCAGAGCTGCCAAAGGCTTTATGCAAATGATAGAGGGCCCGGAGGGAAAGGAAATACTGGAAGACGTAGGAAGAAAGGCCAAGGAGAAATCGGTTGAAGACTTAGTGCAGGTGCGCGTAGACGAGAATGACCCAAACAAGTTCTTCCTTTTAGGCTCATCTTCATCTAGTGCCGAGCGGCTGGAGTATGTTGACTTTTTGGTTTCCAACATGGAGGCCTTTGCATGGATGCCTTACGATATGCCTGGCGTCGACCCTAGCTTCATTTGTCCCCAGTTGAACGTCTTTCCAAATGCACGGCCGATCATCCAGAGGACACGGCGCTCGACCTTGCACCATGCCGAGATAGTGGCAGAAGAGGTCAAGAACTTGTTGGAAGCAGGGGCAATAGAAGAAGTGCAATGCCCTAAATGGATATCTAACACGGTGGTGGTGCCGAAAAAGAACGGTAAGTGCCGGGTGTGCATTGATTATAAGACGGTCAATCGTGCATGCCCAAAGGATAACTTCCCTCTTCCAAGAATCGATCAGCTGGTGGATTTGACCGCTGGCCATCAGAGATTCAGCTTCCTTGATGCATATTGTGGCTACCACCAAATAGCTATGTATGAACCAGACCGAGAGAACACTTCGTTCACCACTCCGCGAGGCCTGTACTGCTACAAGGTCATGCCATACGGACTAAAAAATGCAGGGGCAACTTTTCAACGGATGGTAACCAAGATGTTCGCTCCCCTTCTGGACCGCACCATGGAGGCTTACATCGATGATATGGTGGTAAAGAGCAAGGAAAAGTCCCAACACCTTGTCGACCTAGCAGAGATGTTCGCCACACTTAAGCATCACAAGTTGTGTTTGAATGCCTCGAAGTGCACCTTCGGAGTTGGCATCAAAAAATTTCTAGGCTTTTTGGTCACGAACCGAGGAATTGAAGCTGGCCTTTCCCAAATCAAGGCAATACAAGAGCTGGAGCACCCAAACTCTACGAAGGACGTGCAGCATCTTACCGAGATAGTGGCCGTGCTGAACAGATTTATCAACAGGTCTTCAAATCGTTGTAGGCCCTTCTTCAAAACTTTGAAGGCCAAGTTCTTCTGGGATGACGAATGTGACCGTGCATTGGCAGATCTAAAGGCATACATGTAGACTGCACCAGAACTCCGCTCCGTGCGCGAGGACGCGAATCGTTTGTTCTTAGCTACTATAGTTCGGACTCATGTCACTGTTTTGAATGTAATCTCACAAAGTGCAATGTGAGACTGATAAATCACCAAAGAGTCCAAATTCGGAAAATCGTTTTGGAAAACTGATTATTATCAAAAAGCGCCAAACATGGACTGCTTTGCCAGATTTCAGAGTCGCCACCTAAATATTTTGTTTTTTGGGAAATTTAGGAAACCCTGACTCGTGCCTAAGGCCACGTGTCCGTCATCACCAAAGTTGCCTCATCTCAGGAACTTGGGTACAAGAGGGGAATGTCTTAAAATGAGCACCCCCGCTCGCCAGATCAAAGGATCGACCTCTACTAACATGATATGTTGTTTTTGAAAACACATGTGTTCTTGTTCAGATTATTAGCTAACTTACTATGTGATGCGCACATCACACAAGTATAGATTAAATCGCTCGATTTGGAACAAAACATCTCATATTTGTTTGTTTGAAAATGGTTTGAAGTTGCTACTCGCAAGTAGGCTAAGTCACGGATTTGCCACCCTCAAGTGGGCTTAAAAAACATGATTTTGCCACTCTCAAGTAGGCTTAAAACACACATTTTGATGAATTATTCCAATTCAACCAATCCAACCTTCACCCGCAGGCATTCGAGCAGTAAATCACTTAAGCAAATAGCCTCATGGCAAGCATGCTATCATGGCAGTCACTTACATACATGCAAGGATGCTAAAGCGTAAACACTCACAATGAACTTTGAGCCAAAAAAGGAAACTAGTTAGTAATCAATGCATGATCCTAGCTATGTCAACAATGCCTAATGCAACACATACAAAAATGCAACTAAAATAGGCTCGGCTATTCTAAGATGTCATGTTAATGCAACTTGATAACATGTATTCAAATTGGTATTGAAATACAATGCAATTAATATGATGTGCCGAGCCCGATGCATGTAAGACAAATGAATGATGCACGCATGCACAGCATAAAGATGCTAATTGAAATATGCCCTAAAACTAACCATCAAAGGCTGGTAAATAAAAGGGAGAAAGACGTGGGGTTGGAAGAAATTCACACACTCACGCACACTTATTACAAAATCCGCCCTCTCGACGGAGGGTCCGAATAAAAGCTAAGCTAAGCAATTAATTACAAATAAACTAATTAACTACTTAGCAAATTAATTATTACAACCCAAATTGAAACAAATAGCTATGCTAAGCTAATTAAAATATTACAACCAATTGAATGACTAATCATGCAAACTAATCATATGCAGTGAGATGGCCTCGCCGGCAAGGAAGAGATGCATGCTTGGTTGGCTTTGCTCGGAAATCCACTGCCGTGCCTGGTGATGCCTCTGTTTGCATTGTTTTGGGCTTCTGAAAATTGTGCCAACTTCCAAGATGCTTCTGATCCACCTCATGGATATGCTGAGGGGTGGTCGGCCAAGATGAATGGCCATCGGCCAGAGTTTATGGCTATCAGCCAATTTGATAGCTGATCGGTAGCCTTTGATGGCCGGTCGGTAGCTTTGATGGCCGATCAGCCACCACTTCCTACAATTTCTCCTTTTGCTGCAACAGAGCACAAACAGAGGCATGGCAGTGTATTTGCAAGGAAATGTTTGTGCAACTACACCCATTGTCATGTCTCAAACTCAAAGGAGTGTAGTACTCGGCTCTTGAGCCACCAATCACGCATCTCAATGCATGATGGCCAAAGAGGCCAAGTTGCACAAGCTCAATAAATGCATGACAAACAAGACACTTGGACCATCACCTTATCATGGATAATCAAAGGCAATGGAGATAAAGGGGATTGGCCCATTTTCATCACTTTAAGTATGAAATGGACCAATTCACTTTGTGTTCAACATAACGTCCGATCGAACACAATGCAATGCACGCATGCAACATGCTTATCTTGGCATATTTTACTTGATTGATTTTGTTTACACATTTTAACATTACCAATCCATTCATTAATCAACTTGTCTAACTATGAGAGTCCTCTAATGAGAGAGAGGTCTATCAAAGTGAATGGTTTAAGGAATGGGAAAGACCAATGCCTTGACTAGGAGTAACCCTCAAAAAAGGGTTAAAGCCATTTAAGCACAAGTCTCAATTCCTTGCATTAAACTCAAACTCAAGACTAACCAATCTTCAAAACAAATCAAAAGCGAAGAAATGAGGAGGATGGTAGATTTCCAATGCTATAGTGGCATGAAATACAAGACTCTACTATGCAAACATCGCATGCACAACATGCTAGAACACTTAAGCGTTGAAACTAGTGAAGAGCTTCACACTAGGACCATGCAATACAATGCTCAATTGACTAAACCAACCCCAAACAGACCTCATGCATGCCAAAACAGTGGCTAAAATGGACTGAAATGATAGCATGATAAGCAAGAAAAAGCATGCTCAAATGATGGCTCGCAAGCAAGGCACAAAGCTCAACTCTCAAATACAATTAAAGAGTGATAAAAATGAGAATATGGCAAAGATATAAGCTCTGAAATACCATGCCAACTGATGCCAAGGCATGCAAACATCACAAGTATAGCATGGTAGGGGCCTCAAAACTCAAGACTAGTCAAGGCATTTGCACAATAGCTATACAAAGCATGTCAAAATAATGCTAAAATACGTATGGAGTATAGCCAAGGCAAGCTAGCATGGAGGGCCAAAACACCAAGTACACTAGGCTAATGGGCAAGATTGCACTACAAGTGCACAAACCAAGTAAGAGGTGACTCCACCAACCAAAACAAAGTTATGGCATGTCAAAATAACACCAAAAATGGGCTGAGACTAAGCCAAAACATGCTAGAATTATAGGCTAAAATAGCAAGCATACAAGGCTAGCTAGCAAGGATTACACTACAAGTGTATAAAGCATGCAAGAGATGAGAAAACCAGCCCAAAATAGAGGTATATCAGGTCCTAAAAGTCACAAAAACATGCTTGAAAAGAGCTAACATAAGCTACAAAAAGATGCTACTTTATAGTGCAAACAAGGCATGACATGGGGAGAAAAGGAGGGGAGGCCACCCCCTCCTATTTTGGACCTCAAGACATGGTTTCCACCACTGAAATACCTCTGATTTTCAGTGGTGAAAAGGCCAAAAAGGTTGGATTTGAAGGTGGTGAGAAGTTGCACAAAAGGCCTCACAAGCCAAGGAACAAAAAAGAAGAACAACCCCCAAACTCACCAAGCCTTAAACTACCATTTTTACACCTTAGAAACAGAGTTTTTGATAGTCCAAAACCAACCCCAAAATGCAACAAAACAATGGAAAAACGGGGAATAAAGCAAGTGTGCAAAAACAAGCTTGAAATGAGGAAGTTCTTACCCTTGAAGTACCTTGAAGGACAGCAACAAAACCAGCCAAAATCTGAGCCAAAACCAGCCTTTTGGAGCTCAAAAAAACCTCCAAGAATCTCAGTCCAAAAGGTAGAGGTGTTTGGTCTAGGGTCTCTTTGCAAGAGTGTAGAGAATTCTAATTTTAAGGCTCAAAAACATGAGGAAAATGAGAGAATTCTAGGGAGGGAGAGAGTTTTGCTCACAAATCTTCTAGAGAGAGAAGATTCTAGAGTGAGAAGCTCTCAAAATTTTCTAAGCCTTCAAAAAATGTTCTAACCCTTGGAATATGAGATATAAGGCCTCATATATAGCAAAATATCAAGCTTGGGTCGAAATATCTGATTTGGGACAGGTGGCACAAG